CACTCAGGAGCCGCTCCTGTGGGAACAGGGAGAAGCCGGAGCTGACTCTGGAGGAGGTGGTTGGGTTGTGACTGCCTCCTGGGGGCAGAGACAGATGAGTCCCCAAGGGAGGGGCGAGGGGGGAAAAGCCTGGACACGGGTCACAGTCCTGGCTTCCCGGTCGGCACACCGGCGGGGAATACGCCCTGCTCCTGTGGGTGTGGACACAGGACACAGGAGGGCCTGTCGGCACCTGAGAGGAGATCTTCCTTCCACCGGATGAGGCTGGGCACCTGCCCTCAGGGCCAGAAACCCAGGTCCTGCCTCTAACACTGTGCCCAGATACCTGCCCCCTCCCCCAACACAGGGGACCCACAAGGCTGCTTTCTGGGAGAACAGATCTCTTCCCAACCCTTTAGGAGCTGCCACCCTGCCCACTTGCACCCCAGTCTCCTGAGCCCCCACCCCCGTGGGGTTTTAAACCTCACAGGCCAACTCAGCAGAGGGTACTTGGGGTGTCCTCCCCAGCACAGAGGGGACGTGCTCCACAGGTATGGGTGGTAGGGACCGTGTAGGTAGACACAAGATGTAGGCGTCGTGGAGGATGGACTCTGGGCTGGTCAGCCAGGTCACCTTAGGCGGGAGCTGAGACAGGAGGGGATGGCTGTGTGTCAGGACACCCAAGTCCCACGATCAGCGAGCAAGTGAGGGGTACAGCTTCACTTTTCTTGGGGACAGGGTTTCCCGGGGCATGCATGGTCTCGGGAAGGTCGCCAGGTTCAAGGTTGTGCATATTGTCACCCCCTTTGTCTCCCGAAAACATGTTCAGACTGCGCACCTTCGGTGAGTGAGGAGCCAGGTAGCTGGGAGAGTGCCCAGGGGATGGGGAGGGAGGGCACCTGCAGTTCACCCAGCTTCCTGCAGGATAGACAGGGGGGGTGGGGGGCGGGGAGAAGGAGGCGCCTGTGTGGACATCCGGGCCCACAGCCTTCCCTGGTGGCCCCTGCCGGTCTCTGCAGGTTCCAGGGAGCCAGACAGGCCCTGACAACACAAGGCAGGTGGGCAGCCAGCAAAGGGAAGGCACCTCCTCCCCGCAGAGCCTCCTCCGGCGTCTGGGCCCTGAATGAAGAGGGATGGACAGGCGGACTGGACGGAGCCTCAGCCTTGGGGTTGGCTAGCGGCGCCAGGGGTGTCAGAACATCCCCAAACACAACTGCCCCTGTCGCTGTGGGAAGCAGAGAACGGGAAGACAGTGTCTACGGATGAATCCTTTAGTCTCAAGTATTAAGAACCCCGACAGGCTGGATTTCTGGGGTGGAGGGAGGCCTTCACCTTGTGAATTGGAGGTGAGTCCAATCACATTCTCATCACTGATATTGTTCCCCACTATATCCTCCCACCATAGGGCAACCTTAAAGTTACCTCTTACAAGCGCATGGCTGATGGCTACCCAGCTTTAACTAGAGGCAGACCTGTGCTGTTGCTCTCTAGGCTCGGAAGGCAGCCACTCCCCCTTACCTGCCCTGTGGTCACTGGGGTTAGGTTACTCCTCCACTGTACCCAGGGACCTTTAGGGTTAGTGTACAGCCCACTTTTTTAATGCACTTGGTTCCTGTAATTAGGGGGGCCTGCATGCCCCTGAGTGTATATAAGCCTTGGTTGGAAATTATACTCCCCCTCTCTGCGAGGACCTGGCTCCTGAAGTCCTGATGGTCCCAGAGGTGAGCCCTTGCATGCCTGACCTTGTCTGATGTCTCCTTAATGTTAGCCCTCAATGACACACCCGCCCCTTGGACCCCCGGTGGGGAGGCTGGTTTCCTCTGACCTGTCATCTCTTCCTGCGGAATGCCCTTTGCCTGTGGCTTTTCCAAGGCCGGGGCAGAAAAAGGACCCACCCCGGTTACACAGGATTGGGGACCAACCCCTCAAGTTATCAGCTGTGTTGGGGACATCGTTCGTGGCTCCAGTAAGGCTGTGGGTGGTGACCTAGTCCCAGACAGAGAGAGAAGAGAGAGAGTCTCCGGTAGACCATGCTCCCTCTGGGCACCTGGCCCAGGCACGAGGCAGGCATAGAAGTGGGATGAGGGTGGAGTGGACTGGACACTTGCTCAGTGGGGGACGCTGGGTGAACCCCTCTTCCCTGTCTCTGGCCTGACCTTCCTAGAGCAGAGGGAGAGTCCCCACGTGAGGACATTGCAGATACTAGGGCCCTCGCTCTGCTGGGACCGCTCCCCCCTCTACCCCGTGCACGCCTCCCCTGACTTACACCGGGAGTGAGGGGACAGGAGGTCAAGAGCTGGCCCAGGGTCAACCCCACAGCCTCTCTAAGCAGAACAGGGCACGGGCCTCAGGAGACGGCCCTCCTGGAGGACGCCTGTGCAAAGCCCAAGGGCTCGGCGTGGCAGGCTCTGCCTTTCCACAGTGGGCAGTGGACGGCTTTCTCTGGGCCTCAGTTTCCCCACTCACATACGAGCAGAGGGGTGGGTTGGAGTCTGAGTGCACTGGGAAATGCACAGGTCTGAGACCCCATGCTGGAAGCCCATGCGGGGTGCTTGCGGGATGACTGAGGCAGGCAGGACCCCAGGGGGAGTTGGAGGACCCCAGGAGCCAGAGACAGTGGGTGAGGCACAGTTAAACCCTGTGGTCACACCACAGCCCGGGGCTGAACGCCAGCTCTCCCACCACAGGGAAGACGCACCGGGTCACCGCCGGGACGAAGGAACAGGATGTACCCTCACCAAGTGCTCGGCCTTGTCTCTGGACTGACCGCAGACCACGGGCTGGGGGCCTCAGGCCCTCGGGGCTGCTGTCTCCACCTGTCCCCGGCTTTGCCTCTGGCCCGTCTGGGCCTTTCTGCCCTCCACGCTCCCTCACAGAGCAGTCCCCCCGAGTCACCCCAGCAAGAGCTCCCTGAGCATCCACAACTGGGTGGCCCGGGCAGCCAGGGCACCACATCCAGCCAACCTCCCTCTAGGGTGTATGCAGACCTGAGCCCATGCCTGAGGGTGGTGTGTGTGTGTGTGTGTGTGTGCATGGTGTGTGTGTGTGTGTGTGGTATGTGCATGTGTATATCTCTGTATGTGTGTGTGGTGTGTGTGCACGTGGTGCATGTGTATGTATGTGTGTGTATGTGTGTTATGTGGTGTGTATATATGTGTGTGTGTGGTGTATGTGTGGTGTGTGCACGCGTGTGTGTATGTGTGTATGTGTGGTGTGTCTGGATATGGGTGTGGTATGTATGTGTGTGTGTGTGCGTGTGGTGTATGCATGTGTGTATGTATGTGTGTGTGTAGAGTGAGGCTGAAGCAAGACCTGGGCAGGGGGGGGAGGCTCAGAGGAAAGCCTGTGGTTTGGTCGGACCCCTGGCACAGGGCTGCTATTTCATGTCCCCACATTTGTCCATCGAGATGAGACTCCACGTGTCTTAGGAGCCCTAGTGGCTCTGTCAGGTAAGCACTGGGCTGCTAGCCTCAAGGTCGGTGGTTCAAACCCACCAGCCATTCAGAGGGAGAGAGATGAGGCTGTCAGACACCCACGTAGGGTCACTCTCATCAGCACTGACTCTGGACCAGTGGGCCTGTTTGTGTCCTGTGTCTGGTCACTGGTCTCGGAGGGCATTCCCTCCCTTGGGGACAGCCGGGGATCTGAAGCTCAGAGAGGCAGGGTTACCTGGCCAAAGTCACACAGCCAGCCGCTCACTCCACTTTTGCCATGCCCTGAGCCGGCCCCTGTCCTGACATGGGCCCAGGCCAGGCAGACTCAGGGCACAGCCCCCACCATGGAGGCCCACCCCCCCTGACTTTGGCCTTTGACCCTTTCCTCATGGGCGAAGAGCTCAGGGAGCCGGCTGGCCCTGCCGGAGTGGGCAGGGGCTTTGTTTGATGTCCTCTGGACCCTCCCCTGTGTGGCCCAGCCAAGCCCGGGGAGGCGTCTTGTTGCATGGCTTGTCCAAAGGTCAGGTGCTGGCTGCGGCGGGGAGGGGTCCAGGCTGGAGGGGTCAGGGAGCAGCCCCCCTGAGGGTCGCTGGGGCTGACATCCCTGGTCATCAAGCCTCTGCCCAACCCCTGCACCCTGGGGTGGCCTCAGCCTCCCTGATTCCCAGGAAGAGCCAGACAGGGGGTGGGAACTGTGCTCAGACAGTGGGGGCTCGGCCCTGCCTGCTCTCCCGGGGCCCAGGCTAGTCTCGGACGGCGAGGCAGCAGGCATGAGGGTGCTGAGGGTAGAAATCAGTCAGACTTGCAGCGAGGGCAGAAGGAGCCGCCACCCAGATTTGGGTGGAGAGCACCCACCTCCACACACCCCCCCCCACCAAGTCTACTTGCTGTGGACCCAGGCTGAGCCCAGCACCCTCCAGCCTCCCAGATGAAGGGTGCCAGGATCGACCAGCTCTGGAGGGCACTTCCTGCCAACAAGTGCCCGGGCTTCACACACCGAGGCTCAGCTCTTCCACCAGAGTCAGGAAGCATGGGCGGGGCCTGGCAGGGGCCAAGGGGGGCGGACGGGGCAGCTGACCATGGGAACGGAGAGGTCCCCCACCAAGCCTGCCCTCTGCAGCCCCCAGGCGGGCCACCCCTGAGACCAGGCCCGGGGCTCCTTGTCCCCTGCAGCTCTGAGAGTCTCATGTGGGAATAGAGAGATATGAGAGCCAGGTGGCCCGGCTTTCCTGCCCTGCCAGGATCCTGGGGGAGCAGCCTCCCTGAGCAGGTGGGACCCTCCCCGGGCTGGCGCTGACCAGTGTGCGAAGTGAGCCCTGTGTGGGTGGACCCCTCCCCACTTCCAGGCCTCCCTGTCCCCAGCCCCTGCTTCTGGAGGCCGGGCCTAGGCCTCAGTCAGCTGTTTCTCAGGCTTCTTTGGTCCCGGTTCAGGGTAGCACTGAGGGCAATCTCTGGGCAAATAAGGGCAGGCTGTGAGGTGGCAGCATTCCAGGCCCCCAACAGAAAGAGCCCGAGGGCGTAGATGGTCCCTGGGGAGGGAGGTCTGCCCTGGACTGAATTCTTGGCTTCTGGGTCTCTGCACAGCCAGGTGCCCCCGGAGGCTGCAGCCAGCCCACGAGGGAGCCCATGAGGGAGCCCAGGTGTCTTGGGTAAGCTCACACCCTAGGAAGTCGCTGGGTGCAAGCCGCTTTCTCCACCCACCCTGGATGGGGTCTCTCCACCTCCTCTGCCTGGGCTGCTGGGGGGTCGGCAGAGGGTGGTCGACTTGGGTGTCACCTTGCATGGGGGCGGAGGTTGCTGAGGGAGAGGAGGGCCGGGAGCAGACTGTCTGTCGGCCTCAAAGCAGGTCAGGGGTGAGTCAGAAAGGGAAGGGAGGCCCTCTGGGTGGAGGTGGCTGGGCCAATGGGGAAAGGGCCCGGGCTGGCGGGGCCACAGGGCTCCCTCCCAGGGCGGGGCAGGCGGCTGTTGATCAGCCCAACAATGAAGAAACGGCCCCTTTGTCCTGCGGGCAGAGCAGCTGCTGAGACTGGAGGAAGTTGCTGTCCCCAGTGGGCAGCCCCTGGGGAGCTGGAGGACCATCCCGAGTGGGCTGTGTGCCCACGCTGTCGCCCTGTGGCTGGCTGGGGTGACCGCTCACCACGCCCCAAGGCCAGCCGGGCACAGGTTGCCCTCTCTCAGGCGCTGTGCCCCCACCCTGGGCCGGGAACCTGACGCTGCGGGCCTGGCTTCGCTGGGCAGCCCTTGCTGGACAGGGAGGCCCCGCCGGGTCAGCATCTTGCTGATGAGGGGAGGGGGTTCCAGAGCAGGAACTCAAAGCCCCGGGATACACAGCAGTAGCCGGTCAGAGGACCCACAGGCCAGCCCTCCCTGCCTGCCCCCCTCTCGAGCTGCCTCCAATCCATGTGCCCGAGCAATGGGGCAAACTCCGACCTGGTCAGGTTCCTCCCCTCCTTCAGAGGACTGGCCAGGGCACCAGGTCCAGGGAAAGTCCCAGCTCTCTTGCTGGGCTTCAAGGGGTGCTGGAGGGGGGGGCCCTCTGAGGGTGTGCAGGCCGCAGTGAGGACAGCTGCACGGCCCCCGCCCCCCCTGTCCCCCCTTCTCCTGTCAGTGCTTCTGCATCAGGCCTTTGGGGATGATCAGGATGAGCTAGTCCAGGTGGAGCCCACCCCAGGTGGCCAGGCTGGAGCTAGTGCCCAGACGGCCTCTCCTCCCAGGATTGGGGGCTCCCCACTGCCCCCAGCAGCCAGGACCGGGCCCAGCCTGACGCAGGCTCTTCGCGCACCCCTCCCCCAGCCCAGAGGAGGCCCTGGCTCCAACGCCAGACCTTTTTTTTTCCCCCTGGAGGGATGGAGCTAATTAACTGAGAGGGTTTAATTAATCAATTAGCGTGGCCTCCAGACCCCTCCACTTAGCTGTGGCTGTGGCAGGGCAGGGATTTATAAACAGGAGCTGTCAGGCCCTTCTTTGGCGGGAACCCCAGCTGCGGGGGGGCAGGAAAGGGGGGATCACAGTGGGCACAGAGGCGGCAGGAAGAGGGGCTGCCAAGGCAGGACAGCCAGAGCCCCTGCCCACCCCTGTCCCCTCGGCACCAACCAAGGCCTGCGCTGGTGCAGCCTAAGCACTGCCTGGCTGTCGGGGTACCCAGCGGGCGGGCTTCGGAAGGACACACAGCACAGGCTCCCAGGTGGGGAGGGGTCAAGGAAGGCTTCCTGGAGGAGGGGGGCTCTGAGCTCAGCTCGGACATCGCTGACAGAGGCAGCCATCGAAAGGGGTGGTGGGTCCTGGACAGTATTTGGGGAGAAGCAGCCAGGCAAAGGCCAGGGGGTGGGGGCAGCAGCAGGTTTGGTCTCAGAGAAAGGAAGCCTCTGGGATCTGCTTTTCCGCCGGCCCTCCTCCAGTCCCCAGAGCGCAGCCCTGACTCCAGAGTCCCTCCTAGCCTTCCCCCCTGCACCTACCTGCCCTGCATGGCCCAGGTATCCCACAATGCACCCCGGCTCCGCCCCCTCGTGGAGAGGCTGTCCTCTGGGGTTGGACAGGCAGAGTCCAAGTGGGGCCAGGGTTTGAGGACAGAGGGCCAAAGCTGGGGCAACCCCTGAGGGGCCCCTGGGACGTGGCCGCCCTGCCCTGTCTGGGCTTCCTGTTGTTCTCCGTGATGGTCGAGCATCTCCTCAGCACTGCGGGAAGCTGGTCAGGCTAGATCCCTGGCCAGCCCAGAGTGAGGGAGGGTGTGTGCCTCTTGTTTCTCGGCCGGCCCTTAGAGAGGACAGGCCTGTCAGTGGGACGAGGCAGCCGCAGGCAGCGGGGCAACCACAGCGGGAGTTGGCGTGGGTCCAGGCACGGGCTCAGCCCCAGGAAGGACTCAGTCCCCACCCCGAGCTCTGTGGGACCCACCATGGGTTGGGCACACACATCCTGTCAGCACCAACGATAACCATCTTTCTGCGGGTGCTCCGGTGTCACCCCGACAAGGCTGTTTCTAGACATGACCGTCTCACAGAGAACACAGGGTGCTCAGAGCCCCCACCCAGAAGTGGGGACCTCGGGGAAGATGTGGAGACCCCTGAGGTCCTCGGCGCAGGGGTGTGTCCCCAGTGGGGGCCTCTCCCGTAACGGGCTCACCGGGGAGGGGGAGCAGCATCAGGACCCATCCTTCTTCTTCGAGCTGGGAGGGCCCCACGCCACAGCTCCGGGATCTGGGCTGAAGTGTGAGCCGGGGCTTCTTTCCACTGCCCTCTGAACTCCCAGAGCAGCACCCCGAGTCCTGAGGTTCTCTCTCAGGGAGAGAGGGGCAGTGGCAGCTCCAGGGCGAGCCCAGGTCTCCCTCCGGGACGTGTGTGTGTGTGTGTGTGTGTCAAGGTGCGGGTGCCTCCAGGCTTACTTGGGTGCAGGACTGAAGGTGCACAGCACGTGGGGGAGCAGTGGCCGGTGGGAGGGTCTTTGCATGGAGGTGGAAACAGGCTGAGCAGAGGCACGGGGCAGGGGCGGGGTGGGGTGGAGGCTGCCTGAGACAAAGGCCCTTGCTTTCAGCCCAGGACGACTCCCAGGGCCGAGGACCCCACCAGCCCCAGAATAGGCTGGGAAGGGGGTACGGGGTGGACCCAGGGGCCCCTCTCCCTCGCCGGGAACACATCCCCTTCTCACTGGTGGCCCTCAGCCCCTCGCTCCAGGCAGGGGCTGTGGTGCCAGACTCCAGCCCCCTCCCCTCAGGCTGGCACTGGCTGGTGGACCCCTCTGGGTAGCTGGTGCCAGGCTGCCCAGGCCTGGGGACTGCCCAGGGAAGGAGTGCGTCTGTCTTGAAGGAAGGAGAGCCCAGGCCCCCCACAGTCGAGGACAGAGAGGCTGGGACTCTCCTGCTTCCAACGTGTCCTCAGGAGACCCTGGCTCCCGAGGACAGCAAGCCTGTCCAGTAATGATGGGGGCGGGGGGCATGCTGCACAGCTGTGGGGCTGAGGGCACAAATGTAGGAAGGGCCGAGAGGACAGAGCAGGACCCGGGGCTTCCCAGTCTGCTGCACGGAGGGAGGGAGGGGCCCTGAGGGTCGGGAAGGAATTGATGGCGCCAAACAAGCTCCCCCACGGGGGCCTGGCTGTCCCAGATGTCCCCGCCCTCAGTCCCGATTCACATCAGCAACGAGAGGGCCTGGCAGTGACAGCCAGACCCCGCCACACCTGTGCCCAGTCCTCTGCCCACCTCACCCTGGCCAAGGGACTGAGCAACTCCTGCCCGGGCAGTGTGTGTGTGTGTACCACGCTGGGAGGGGCTTCCTACAGCGCTGGGGGCTCCGCAGCCCTGTCTTAGGCCTGGACAAGTTGCGAGTGCCTGCCTTTAATGGCCCTGCTGGGGAGGGGTGACCTCACCTCGAGACGCCCGGATGAGAGATGGCTGATGTCAGAGGCAGGTGGCTCCTCAGTAGTTAGGAGGCCTGCTTGGGCTTGCCCTTGGGTGTGAGCAGCAGGGTGTGTGTGTGTGGGGTGTGTGTGTGTGTGTTCACAGGGCCAAAGGGGGAAGGCTCCCAGTCCGATGGGGGAGGCAGAACCGCAGGGACAAACTGAGCTGCAGGGGGACAAGGGGCTCACTCCACGCCAGCCTGGCTCTGGGCTTGGCTTCACCATTGACCCAGGGATGGGAATGGGCTGGTTCTCAGTCCTCCCCCTTGGGTTCTCAGGCCTGTGGGGCCCAATCCCAGAGGCCTGAAGCCCAGGGTACCGTGTCCTGGCAGGGCCTGGGGCATGCAGGGGGACGCGGTCAGACTTGACCCTGGTTCTGACGTAGGAGGGAGGCAGAGTTGTCAGCGTGTCCTCTCTCAGAAGGCTGGCTCAACCTCAGGCCCTGAGGGCTGGGTGTGGGTCCTGCCACCCCCAGATACACGTCAACGGTGCCCTCGGCCGGCTGGGCTGTGGACAGCACCAGGCAAGAGGGCGGGTTCTGGCGCAGGCTCTTGCTGTCCCCCTGCCCCATGCAGGGGGTGACTGCTTGCCCTCCAGGGAGGGGCCCGAAGGGGCTGTCGGTTAAGCAGCCCCTCTCCGGAGGGCTGTCGTCTCCTCCCTGAGGCCCAGGGGAGGACCACTGTGGTCTCCTGTCAGGCCCTCGACAGGCCCAGAGCTCCAAGACCTTGCTGGGGTCCAGCCTTAGTCAGTCCTGCACCTGCCACCCAGCCTGGCACCATGTCTCCCCGCACACAGTCCTGCTCCTGGGCAGCCCGGCAGCACAGGACCCTGGCCATGGCTGTGGCCTGAACTCACCGAGAATGAGCGGTAGACACAGGGTCCCTGGGGCCCAGGCGGAGAGGCGGGCAGAAGCAGGGACTGAGGAGGAGCCAGGGCCAGGTTAGGAGGAGGGAGACGGGACAGGGTGGGAGGCAAAGCAGACAGCCCCAGAGCCAGGGAGAAGGGACACTGGCAGCCAGTCCCCAGACCAGAGATTGCCTGGGCAGGACAGGCACCACAGAGACCTGTGCAGTAACAGCAGCAACTCCCAGCAGGCACCCTGATGCCAGAGCCCAAGTCAGCCACCTTGGCCAGAATCTGGTTTTGTCCCTGCGGGAGGGCGGGAAGCCGACCTGCCAGGAGCCCCAGCCAGGCCCCGTGCGGGCTCTGCAGCTGTGGGCACCGAGGGCTAGAGAGGGTGCTGGGAGTGTCAGAGCACGCACAGGAGGCAGGTGGCGGAGTTGGCCCTCCTGGGGCACCTGCTCACCCCACCCCCTACCCTGGGCCTGGGCACACTGGCACTGCCAGGCACTGACTCAGCCTGCGGAGGGCCCAGCGCCCAGCCCGGCACGTTTCCCCAGCAAAGGAGAACAAAGGCCCAGTCTCTGCCCGCTAGGACTCCCCCACCCCTTGCCTGCCCCTGGCACAAGGGGACCAGGGCGGAAGCGTCCCAGAGCAAGAGCAGCAGCCTGCCCCTTGTGACAGCGCAAGAAGCCCCTCCCCACTGGAGCGGGATGCTGGGCAGTGCCCCCCACCCCGAGCAGGCCCCTATCCTGCGGGCATGAGGTGGGGACTTGGTGCCTCGGGGCAGGGAGTCCCGACAGGGCCAGGGCTGAGTGTCCCCAGCTTTCTGCCCACCACACAGCTCCTGTCCAGGACCAGCTCGATGCTGGCCACTGCCCGCTGAAGGACAGTCAGGGTAGGTAGAGACCGGGCTGCCCAAGGCCCTTAGCAGGGACTCCTCTCAGACCGGGCAATCCCTCTGCCGGCTCTCACAGGGACTCTGCTACCCCTGGGAGGCTCCGCCTGCCCCCAAGGTGGCAGTCCCTGTAGCTCACCAGGCCCCCTTCCCGCTCCCTGCTCCACAGGGGCCTCACCTGGACTCCTGGCCCCTGAGAGAGGACTTGGGCAAAGGGCCCGAGTTCTGGTTCTGAAGAGGCCTGTGTGGTCAGCTCCTCCCGGCAGGCCTGGGCTCAGCCGGGAAATGAGCTCTTGCCACGTGCACTGGGGACCCATCAGACGGGTGGATGCAGAGGCTCAGGGGGCTCAGGGTCTACCCAAGGCCGTCCAGCTCCCGAGGAGCAAACCAGGGCTGTCCGACTCACTGGGCAGGTTCCCGGGCCCACCTGGCACCCCAGAAACTACCCTCTCCCACCCACACAGCAGGGGGAAGAAGGGCTCGGAGACAGGAGTCAGGGGCCTGAAGCCCCTGAGCCACCTCTAAGGGGAGGGCCTAGGGTAAGGTGACCAGACGTCCTGATTTTTAACAATTTTTCCCATGTCCTGGGGTGTTTTTTAAAAGTCCTGATTTTTTGAAAGAACGTACAAGCTAGGGTATACGATTTTCAGCTGCCATGTGGCTATTTCGCCAGGATATGATTTTATCAATGGTGTCCCGCTTTTGTCCCATTTTACCAATGTTAAAATCTGGTCACCTTAGCCTAGAGCCATCCTGGGTACACTGGGGCTCACCCATGACCTTGGTGCACAACCTCTCTGAACCTCAACTTCCTGTCAGTCCTCAGGAGCCCCCAGAGGCAGCCGCGAAGTCCCCCACCCCTGCCTGAGGGCTGAAGACATGCTGTATCCCAGTGGCCTGCAGGGCACCCCAGCCCTTAAAGTGGGTGCTCAGCTGACTCCAAGCAGCAGGAGGGTCCAGCGACCCTCTCCCTTACCACCCACCCCTCCACCCTCCCGCCTCGAACCGTCACACCGACTGCGTTTAAAGAAAAAATAATATTTATTTGCAATATAAACAAAGTCCCGTCGCTGGCTCGGGATATATATATACGTATGTGTGTGTCACAAATTTTCCTTCATAAGATCATAAAGCAAAACTGGCCACCCTCTTGGAGCACACTCACTTACACACGTCTGATTCA